TTTCTCCCTATTCGCGCTCTCTTCTTCCCTCCTCTTCCGTTCCCTCCCTCCGCTTTCTTCGGCAAGGACGTTTTTCCGTTTCTTTCTTCTTTTTCCTTTTCTACGGTTTTTTTCCTTTAATTGTTATTTTTCGATCGTTGAGAGAAAGCGTTCTCTACGCTTGCGTGTGCCGCTAAACAGAGGGAAAGCTGTTTGATTTCGTTCGATATCACGGTATCGCTATCGCGGTGTAATCGCGCGTCTCGCGACGCGGATAAAACTCCGTAAGGGGAGGAAGGTAGATCGCTCCTTGGCTCGCTCTCCTCCTCTTTCCTCTCTCCTCCTACCACTTGCCACGCGGTTGCAACTCGCGGAATTGGAATGACTGTTAAACGTCCGACCTAATCATACGTAAACATTTGTCTCTTCTTCCTCTTCTCGCGCACACTACGCGCTTAGTTTTACGAGCTAAAACGTTACTCCTCGAGTGTTTGAGCCACGTACACGAACGCGTTACAGGGTCGCGGCGCCGCGACGATTCCACGGAAGTTACATGATTCCGAGGGAGGATCGCGGTCATATGTAGAGGTGACGGAAATATAAAAGTCGCTTCGTCCGACGAGTTCTATAAATGGTAAAAAAGTGGTATAAAATGAAACGGACACACATAACGTTCGTGGCAATAAAAAAGACGTTCGAGAAAAACAGTTCTACCTCGAAATGATGCGACTCGCGTCGAAATTGTTGCCCGCTGCTTCGCTCGTCGATCGCGCGCGCGCAAACACACATACACTCACGCGCGCGCGCGCGCAGAGACAGACAGACACACGGGGACAAACTTTCGCGTGTGTACTACGAATTTCTCCGGCGACGATCGATTCTCTTACGCGCGTACCACGAGAGTGTACCCGCCGAGCAAGAGGATCGATCGTTTTCCCATTCTTTTCCTTTCTTCTCCTCTCAAGTTTGCCATTTTCCCTTTTTTTTCCCTTTTTTTTCCCTTTTCGTCGCGAGGACGCGTCGAGGATCGTGCCCTCGTTTTTCTGCGACGACGCGCGGATAATCGTGTACCTGTGCCTGCACGTAATTTACCTAATATGCGTACACGTATGTATGTCTCTCCCTGCATACGTTTATCTCTCTCTCTCTCTCTCTCTCTCTCTCTCTCTTTTCGTTTTTCTTTCTTTTTCGGATGCTTATTAACGTACTTACTTAACGGATTAAGTCGCACCAGTCTCCGGTAGAGAACCGTTTTTTTTTTTTCATTCTTTTCTTTTTCTTTTGTCTTCGTTTCGAGATAAAAACCCTTTCTCTTCCCCGACTTCGACTCTCCTTTCTTTCGTGCACGTGCGCTGGCGCTCGCGAGATATACACACGCGTATACACAACACACACACACACGCATACGCAGAGAAACAGACGCACCCTGGCACGCACTCGTACACGTAGGACAATGGCGCGCGCACGCACACACGCACACACACATACGTTGACGTAACTCGAAGAAACGCACTCACACACACGCACACACACACACACACACACGATCAGATTCACGGGATTCTTCGTCGTTTTGCTCGATCGCATGTACACTCAAGCGCCATTCGAGCGGCGATCGTTGGATTTCTCGATCAACTCGTTCCTTTTTTCTCTCTCTCTCTCTCTCTCTCTCTCTCTCTCCCTTTCTTTCTTAGAATTTCTCGTTTCTCCTATTTTTTTTCTCTTTCTCCACGTTCGGCCTCGTCTCTCGATTCGCGTCGGCCTCGAGTTGACGAGCTTTTTGTTTGTTTCTTTGTTCATCGTCTTTCACCTAAATTGACAAGTGTTTATATCGAAGGTATTCTCTTCTTTTTCCCGTTTTTATTTTATTTTTTTGTTATTTCTGTTAAAGACCTAGGTACCTAGACTGGCAATGTTTTAAGGTATGCACGCTCGCGTGGATTCGCCGAGTTTCTTTTTTTTTTTTTTGTTTTCGTATGAATTTCTCTCTTCGATCTCTCTCTCTCTCTTCTCTTCCCTCTTGTTTCGCGCGTTTGCTCGGTTTCGTTCTCGTTTACTCCGCTCCAGCGTTCGCCAAAACTGTGCGCGCGTCCTCCTCCCCCACTATTCTCGTTTTCTCTCGCGCGTATCTTCGGCGAGATCGTGTGATGTACGCTCGCGATCGAACCACGGGGGACGAGAGTCAGCGAGGGGTCGCGTAAATCGAACATCACGTAGCAGTCTGCGTGCAAAATGATTGGGAACGTCACGAAGGACCAGTCTGACCAGCGACTGTCTCTTCTCCTCCTTATACATACGAAGAACGAAGCATAGAGCCGCAAACAGCCTCCTCCTTGTACCATCTTGTTCGTCGACATCTTTGGTCTGACACTATTTTTTACGTTTCGTGGCATAAGTCGACTCATCCGAGCACCCATTCTTTTTTTTCTTCACCTCTTTCCTTCTCTCTCGGTCCTCTTCCTCCTATTCGTCGATTTAACTTATACAGTTTGTTTGTTTTTTGTTTATCTATCCTCCTTCGTCTCGAAGTGATCACAGCGTTATTTTAGTCCGTCCAACGTTTGGACATTGATTCTCAATCAATCCTCTTAGTCCCGTTCGCGAACTGGTTTCACCCCTTGGCCCAACCCCTGACTCGAATACTTTCGCGTTCTGTCTTTTTAACCGCACGTCTCGTTCGCTGTACGCGCGCGACCGTCGCGTCCCCTTCTTCAGCTTATTTCGCCTCCTCGAGGAGCACCAGATCGTCCGCCACGACGTCGCTGATGTGCAGGTAGATGATCCAGTACATCAGGTTGAAACAGACGAAGCATACAGGGAACACGATGCGGGAGTATTTGTCGATGTCCGATGGCGTCATACCTGGCGAGAAAGAACGATCTATGCGTTATCTTGTTTTACACACGAGTTTCTCGGTTAATCTGCGCGAATATACATCGAATTATTGTCGCGTTAACGGATCGGCGTGTGCGTGTCTTGCTTCTTGCCTTACTACAATCTTACCATTGACTCTGGGTGGGAAAAGGCTTGAATAGAGCTAATTTATGACGTGTTAAACATTTCTTTCTTTTCTTTTGGCTGTTTCGCTAGTATTTAACCCTTCCGCTGGTGTACAGGTGATTACAATTGTGCGACACTGAATTTTGGGCAATTGCAATTGCTCGAAATGCGGAGCTCGCATTTTGAAGTAGTTAACGAGTAAGTTTAATTATGTCCAATTAACTGCAATTCTTTTTCTGCACAGGCTGTCGCGGTGAAAGGGTTAATATGCACTACGTAACTTTTGAATTTCTCGTTTAAACGTTGTTACAATATCCGAACTAATTTCCCCGAATTACGAATAACTGGGAAACTAAGGAAGCAGTTAAGCTATCTGACGTTTAACCCTTTGAAGTATGTCTTCGTAACTCGTACGGAGCTTAAATTTTTTTCCCTTAAATTGTTCATGAAAAATGTGTCTGCATACTTTATGCACAATGATACATATATCGTCGAAATTTGAAGTATTCATCTCTGTCCGGACAGTTAAGTTTCGAGTAGCTTCTGCCGTCTAGGGGTAAACCGGCCCTTTCTAAAACCTTCTGAAATCTTAGACTGTGAAAGGAGGGGTTGCACAATAGGACGGTACAATTTAAGGAGGAAAAGGATATTCGGTCGTACCGTAAAGTTTGCTGATATCCTTGCCAGGATGAATGAGATGTTGCGGCGCTGGCGCTGCCTCCTCGTCAGCTCGCCCGTTAATGGTGTTCTCTAGCGTGCCGCCTTTGCTGTGTGCCTTCGGGTCGTGCACCTTGAACCGCACCTCCTGGACAACACGGGACCACTTACAAGAGACACGGCAGTTCGGCGTGGGGTGTCCTTCTTCGAGGAGAACCCCTTACTTTGGTAGATTGGCATGCGACATCGAGGATGGGCAAACACGTGTTTCACTACTACTTTTTCCATTGATCTGTACCTCCCACCCTAATTTCACGCTCTATGTGTATCACGAGTTCAACGATTCACCGATTCCACTCGCCTCTCTTTTGAAACATCGATTTCCCTCGACTTTCTTTTTTTTCTCTTTTTTTCTCTTTCGAATTTGTAAATTCAGTCGGATAGGACGACGAGGTGGTGGTTAGAAACAGTACGAGGTGTTTTTCCGCGTTAATACGCGCTTCGTGTTCGCGTTTAATCATGTTTGAAAGTGAGGAACAGAGGGGAAAGAAGACAGTAGGCAACGATGCTGCCCGTGCTTTTGTCTACGTGTCATTTTCATTAACGTCTTTCTCTCTCTATCTCTTTCTTTCAATTTCCGCGATGCCATTTTTTTCCCCGAAGCCGTAAAACCGACCGATGAAATGAGCCGTGCTGCGACACCGGAGAGATCCGGTTTATACCGCGCAACCGTGTACACCCCCGTGTCAAAGAACGAGTAATTAATCCGATTCAGAATTAATTAAAACGCCTTATCCTGACGACATTTAACGCGCGCACCGAGCGTCCGTCCATCCAACGGAACCGCCTCCTTTCCGGCCTTCTTTCTGTCTTCCATCCCCCCCCTCTCTCTCTCTCAGTTTCTCTCTGTCTCTCTCGCCCCCTTTAATATTTTTCGTTCTCGTTTCACAATCCCCGAGATTAAAAGAAAATTTATAGTGCATCGCGTTCCCGTGCACGAACCGCGCGCCGCCCGGCGCAACGCGAGCGACCGAATGGGAATTCATTTCACAGAACCTTTTAGCTTTTGACCTTTCGCGGCTCGCTCGTTTTTCGAGCGAAAAAAAACATTTCGTTTTTTCACCCCTGTTTCGTTTCGTTTTTAGTTTTCCCCCTTGCTCTCTCTCTCTCTCTCTTTCTTTTTGTTTTTCGAATTTTTCGTTGGAAGAGAAAGATCGAGCGAGAACGCGGGGTGGATCTATTGGCGCGGTATCGCGGGTAACTTTTGCGGTTCGATCCGTCGGTCGAAATCATGCGGTGTCGAACTCGCGGGGAAAAAGTAGCGAAAATGATGAGTGGCGTTGATAAGAAATGCTACTATCCGGCGAGCAAAAATAACGTGACAGCGCTAACGTGATCTATACTAATGATTACGCTATTCTACTGCGGCTAGAGAAAAGAAATTCTGCGCTTTTTCTCTCTGCGCTTTTTCGATTCGATCGATCTACGTGGCTAAAAGCGTATAACGCGTTGCAATGTCGACGGCAACAGAAAGGTTCTAATTGGAAAGAAAGACAAAAGGGGCGCGACAGGCTGGCCGATGTTACACTCACAGTTTGCTTAGGCGCGTGGTCTCCATGATCACCGGGCACTCCGGGCGGTCCTGGATTCTCTCTCGCCGTCTTCATACTCTCGGCGATTTTTTGGAAACGGTTCTTCCTCATTTGAATCCTCTTTGCCATGTAGCCCACCGTGGCGTATTCTACGAGGACAGAGAACCCACGCAAATAATCAGACAGGACAGATGGAAGAATGACGGCTGTGTCCCCTGCACAGCAACGTCATCGTTTCCGTGGTTCGTTGTGAAAGGGCGTGTAATTCTACCACCCGGGAATCGTGTTTTCGTCCCTTTGTTGTGGACAATCTTGACAGGATACGAAGATCGAAGAAAGAAAGATAGTAGGATATTTCCACTGTCGTTTAAAAATACCACATGGTGCGTATAAAACCGTTCCCGAAACGGAAAGATACAGCTTTATCTCGTTAGGTGTAGAATTTAATTTTAACAATTTACAAATCGACTAAAACATTGCTAGAAAATTAAACTGCACAAAGAAAAATTCCTACACTCTGAGTTTAATCATTTATTAAAATCATGCTACCTTCATAAAGTAGCAACTCTACCGAATGACACTAACTGTCCGAAACGTTTAAGATAAAAACGAAACTGTTAATTTCCTTTGAAAATTTCAGCAATTACCAAATGTCAGCTTCAGTTTGCAATCGCAATACAAATGTATCCTCGCACGAAACCCAACTGATTACACACAGTGTCCGTCCATTTACGGTATAGGAGCGTAGTCTAATTACAAGAGTAGAGGTACACTTATGATACTCACCGAGCAACGAGGCGAACACCATGACGAAACAGGTCCCCAGGTAAACGTCGATGGACTTGACGTACGAGATCTTGGGTAGCGCCGCGTTCGTCGACGACATGAGGGTGGTCATGGTGAGCACAGTGGTTACTCCGAGGGCCACCCGAGCGGGGGTCGCGTTACGGTTCAGCCAAAAGCTCACCCATGAGATAATGACGATCAAGCCGGAGGGTATGTAGATTTGAATCAGGTAGTAGCCCATCGACCGTACGAACTGGATCTCGCAGGCCAGCCGCGAATAATTTCCTACGATTAAAAGATCGACAGTTAGGAGAGGGGGACGGAGAGGCGCCATGAAATGTCTCTTTCTGCTCCTCTCGTATATTTTCTTTTCTTTTTTTTTTTTTAATCCATGTCTCCCTTTCACTCTGCCCCGTCCATTTTATCCTTTCCCTCCTCTATACATCTATATCTCTCTCTTTCTCTGCCAGTCCCTTTTCTGTTTTCTTTTCCTTTCCTAGGCCAGGAAAAGCGTTCTTCCCTCTTGCCTCTCTCTCTCTCTCTCTATATATATATATATATCCCTCTCCCTCTCTCTCTCTCGCTTTCCCTCTCGTCGTTCCCCTTCGTTGCATCAGGCGGATATGCGAGGGCTGGCTAGATGTTAAGTAAAGTTCGTGCCGTTGATGGATCTCGTTGGTGAGCGTGTCTAGTGCTCGTGTATCGCGTGTAGAATTCTACGGGAGGAAGAAGAAGAAGAAGAAGACGACGAAGAAGAGCAAGAAAAAGGAGTGTTTTCATATGGAAGCGAGGTATAGCGAGGCGGAACGAAGGGAATCGGCGCGGATAGAAAATCGAGTTTCCCCAGCGTAGATGTAGCTGCTTCTCTTTTTGCCACGGAGCGTGTGCTCACGGGACTGGTTTATGGGCCTCTCCTTCTTCGCTACGAATCGCCAGAAGAATCAACCGCTATAGCGTTCACCAGGAGGAAAATGGGATTTGCTCCGGAGGCCTGATTGCTGCTGCTGCCGTGCTCCTTCCTCGCTCTCTCATGGTTATGAGCTCGGTCGTTAGCTTCGAGCGCGCACAACTTCAAAGAAAGTACGTTGCGCGAAAAGAGAGTTACGATGCCGTGTCGTTTTGCGGTGAAAATTACTCGCGACGCGTGGCGTCGTAACTTGGACGAGCCGCGATTTGCGCGACGTGTCCTCGAACGAGGGGATATTAAACTGAAGAACTTTGCGGAGAAGTGACGTTTCGAAGAAAACCAAGACGAGTGTAAAAAAGAACCGCGTATATCAATTTCGTGAAAATCTTCGAAGCGGTAAGATGACACTTTGAACGAAGAATTGGGAATTACGAGAAACGAAAGGCAACCCTTAATAGTGTGTGCATCCGAAATAACAAGGATCCGACGACGGCGAGGAAACGAGGCTGAAAGAAAGAAAATTGTCCTCTTAACATCCAGCAAACTCGTACATCTGCACAGAGGACGAGATCGCGAGAAAGAGAGAGATATCGATCGATCGATCGACGATTCGTTAAACGTAGTAGAGTAAACGTTGCTGCGAGTGACATCGTGGCTGGTGACATCGGATAGCGCAAACGTGTCTCTCCACCTTACCCATACCCGTTAAAAGCGAGGGTTGAATTATTTATTTATTTATTTTTTTGATTGTTGGTGGGGGTGGGGTTCTATTCATACGTTACCGGTAGTTAGACTAATCTCCATGGCTCGTTGACGATGACCAAGGACCTTGAACTGAGGGAGGGAGACCTCGTTGCTGACACCGACGCTGTTCGGGCCCTCGTTCCACTTGTACCGGATGTCCCTCATCGTGTATCCGACTGAAAAAATAGAGAGACCCCCCGCGGTTGGTACGTACCTTCGCGGAAGCCCTCAAACGCGTTTCAGCTCCGAGGGGGCCTCCACTTACCTCGCACCCCCTGACAAAAACCCCAACAAGTCCGCTCTCTTTTAAGCTTTCCCTCTCTTTTCTCATATTTACATTATACGCTTCTTAATTTTTTTGTTTGTTTGTTTGTTTTTTTCGTTATACATTTAGACAATTTGGATTATATTTAATCGTCACTTTTTCTCCATCCAAATCTGTTCTCTCTGCACTTTCTTTTCTCTATCTCGTTCTATTCTTCTCTCTCTTTCTTTCCGTTTCATTTTGTGTTCTCTCTCTCCCTCTCTCTCTATCTGTCCCTCTCTCCCTCTCTCTCTCTCTGCGTTCGTTCTTACGTTCTCAGTCTTTCTCACGGGAGAGCCAATTTTACATCCGTTTTACGGGTGTCAATAAAGATCGAACACGAGCGCAAGAGGACGTGCGTGCGGAACTTATTACTCGTTCGTTTACTTGTTCTCTTTCGATGTGGATGATCTCGTAGTGTCGATCTCCGTCGACCATTTCGATCGTTGGACACGATCGACAGGAGAGGGTCGCGGTTATGTCGTTTCTGTTTTATTCTATTTTACGATAGTTTTTGTTTTTCGTTTCCTCCTTTTTCTTTTTTTTCTTTTTTTTGAGAGCCCGTCGTGTCGGTTTGATTTGATGTTGTGGATGGTTCGTCCGAGATCGACTCTGTGCTATTCTCGCAGTTTCCTTCGTTATTCAAACGGGGGGGCGAATAAAAGTGTCGAATTAACGGTTGAAATAGAAATAGGCTAGGTTTTCTAGAGTTCGTTAAAATAGCACGTGGTCGACCTCAGACACGTGATAGAGGATTAAATCGGGGAACGATGGATTCGTATGATCGGGAGAGTTCGTCTTCGTCCTTCGTATCCGTGGTATATAAAGATCGATGAGGTCGGTTTTTGATTAGTCGATCTGTCGATTGGTCGAATGAGTTTGCCCCGGGGACGGTTTCGTCCTAGCGGGTAAGCTCTTCCTTTCATTGGAACAATTGAACGTGTGTCGCGGTATGAGCCAACACGGTGATCGGTGCATTATCGGTGCGAATTAACAAACAGAACAAAATTAATCGGTAACTGAAAAAAATAGAAAGTAAACCAGTACATGTATATACAAACGTATACACAAAAGGAGAAGCGCAAGAATCTTACTTAAAGAAAGGAAGGAAAATAAAGAAAGTAAACAACGCTCCACGCATAATATCGTAGAACGGTATATAATAACGGCGTGTACACGCGTGTGAAAATTACGTTACCCAACATGTCAATGATTACTTGAATCATCTGCGCGAGCCTTTGGACGAAGTTCAGAAGGAAGAACTAATAAGAGGGGGATATCTACCTGTAGATAGGTGTATGGTTGAATGTCGTTGCCTGTGACCGAGCACGCGAAACTGCGGTAGTTCCACCTCGTTCGAGATGCCGACCGACTGTAGGCCGGCGTTCCATTTGTACCGAATATCGCGCATTGTGTATCCAACTGCCGGGAGAACAAGAACACAAATATCTTCGCTCTAACATACAATAATTAGACACTCAAGTTTTGTGTGTTGGGTTCTTTAGTGGGAGAAAAATTATCTTTTCATTATGTTTTTTCCTTTTTTCTGGAGAAGGAGGAGCAGGAGATCGAGGTTTGTTCCAGGTGTGAACTTTGGGGGTTAGAGGTTCGGTTGTAAGGTTGTAGATAGAAGCAAAAAATATCATCGAGCACCTTAAACCGGTTTTCTCTCTACTTATACACGGGAACATTTACAGATTTTCGGCACGCGTCCTTTTTTTTTTTTTCAATCGTATCTCAATCTTCGATTTTATACTCTCTTTCTCCATCGGTTTAAGGTGCGTGTCTGCGCTGCAAAAAATCGTCGGCGTGATCGAGCTAGGCGTTAGAAACTGTCGTCGATCGAAGCGAGCTGCACACGTCGCTCCGAACGATCATTATCCACCGACGCGATCGAACAAACGAGAGATACACTTCGGATTGCGTCGCGCGTATGTGCACCGTTCAAATCGTGCCTTTTATGGACGCATAAAAAGCCATCATTCCCCTCCCCCTCGTTCGATTCCGTCGTCGGCTATTTTAATCGACGCTTTCAAAATACAAGCAAAAATCGTCGATCGTTGTCGTATCCCGCGATGATTCACTTCCGATGCGTCCATAACTCTTTCTCACGCTAAGTCCGTTAAATACGGGGTATAAGAGGCGCGATCGAGGCTCCGCCAGAGTGAACAAAGTCTGTGTCACATTATAGGAATAATAACGAGACACACACACACACACCCACACACACACACACACACATGTAGGAGATAGAAAAATTCGAATGGGTTGGTCGCGATGGTTTATCCGTGAATGGATCTCCTTCGTTTTGCGTCCCCCATTCGTAAACTGGTCGCGGGCGAATTTTCACGATCGATCGGAATTCGCACCTATTTATGTTCCTCTAATTCCTCGGCGCGGCCTCGAGCGTGCACATACCGGCCCGAGAAACATTCCTCCGTAACTGAATCTTAGGTGATTACGATCGTTACACCGCATTCCAGGCACCAAAGTGGCATTCCATCGCGGCGGCGGCCACATTGCGCGAACATCGGCGAAACGTGGATTAAGCGATCTACGACCGGAGTATTCGAGATTAACTGCTTTTGTTTTCGGAACACGGAAATACTATCGCCGTGTTCCTACCCCTCCTTCCTACCCTCGAAAACCCCGCCCGCCACCGGCTGGTTTCCGTTTGCTCATTTTCGGCCAGGCAAATGCCTCAACTGTAATTCCACCCCTCGGCGCGGCGGATGCTTTTGCCGCTCGACAGATTTATCTGTACAATGTTCCGCGACTCTGGCGTGTGTCGATTGCCAAGCCAAGCCCGATGCTCCGCGATGCACACGAGCAAGCCTCGTTTGCAGGAGAACGACGAGCAGAGGTTTGCTTTGAAGGAACCGGCACGCGATGTAAACTGACGTGTTTTTTCGATGATTCTAAAGCATCAATCCTTTTTTCGCGTTCCTTTCTCTACTCCTTTTTTTTTTTCATTTTATCCCTTTAATTGTCTCGCTGAATTCTCGACACTTTGTTCTTTTTTTTTTCTTTTCTATTTTTAGTTCGTACTTCAAGAATGGAAAGCATTATCCGTCGCACTTTTGCTTTTGCGAAAATATTTCCGCGGCGCTTCTAAGCGCGCGCGCTCGTATCACCGGCTCTCTTTATACATATATATATATATATATGTACATCATCGAGCTTTTAACGCCGGCGAGAAAAAATAGCGGAAAAATATGCGACACTTTGGTGAAAAGAAAAATTACGTCGTAAAGCGAGACGTGAAATTTTCGTTAAACCGCGAGCGATAGTATTGTGCATTTAAGGTTTAATCGTGAAACGATCATTCCTTTTTCGTGTACATCTACACTTTGTCGTGCGAGTAGAAAATTGTGCGTCGCCTGTTTGAAATACAGAATGATACACTTTTCGCCGATGTTCGTCGTACGCATTGGTGCAGCATACGTAAAGAACCGATTACTGTATATATTCTTTATCTTTCTATGCGTATACATATATATATACACACATCTAACATCTACGTATGTATATCTAATTTTTTTCTCTTCGATAAAAATGTCCTGGATTGGGGCGACGTTAAGCATTTACGGGGGGGAGGTTTGTAATGGGTGCGGAGGGAGAAATGGGACGGGTCAGAGCTGGTGGCTGTTGAATACCCGTATAAGAAAGGAGGGTTTTGCGGCAACATTAGCAAAGAGTAACCGTATAGGGATCGTGGTGGTGGTAGCAAGTTTCAGGTTATATAAGACGATAAGTGGAAAGTGTATAAGTAGATATATGGAGAAGCGAAGAAAAAAAGTCTCGTGCTTGTATTTCCATGCGCTGGTTGGTGCATATACTTTTGGATTTGGAAAATGGGTACATAAGGGGTGGTTTTTTTTTTTTCTCTTTCTTTTTTTGGGGGGAAAGTGCGCGCGCTTCTCGTCTGCACACACACACACACACGTTCCCTTTTTTTCTTTTTTTTCTCTGCGTACACACACGCACACTCGCACTTACGCTTGCACACAGATAGACAAATATACGATACGCATGCATCAGCATATACAGAGAATCGCATGCTTCGTGCCACGTAATTTTGTACGTCATGCCCGATGCCGCATGCTTTGTGCTTTACCAGTGACACGAATTCTGAACACGGAATTTAACTTCTTTTTGCTCGCCCGCTGGAATGGTCGTTTGCAATATTCGCGTTTCGCAAAGTATGCTATTATTGGATCCCATTTAGCCCCGATCAAATTCAGCCCGATCAATTTATACGTTAACGATCCTCCGTGGTTGTCGCACGGACGGCAGCTCTTTCTCTTGAAACCAGACGAGAGAATTATTCAAATTGAACCCGCCGGTGTACACGTATCTGTCAAGCTGGCAAGAGTTGCTGCGAAAGGGATCAATCGAATGCATTAAACGCGGTCAGCGTTGCGAGAAATTTCGAGACTTTCCGGTGTAACGCTTGGAGAATGCCGATGTTAAGTGTATCATATGGAAACAATTGAATTTACATAGTTTTTCAAATTCTACGAGAAAGAGACACCGGACTAAGTAAGAGAAGCTGTTAAATCTCGAGTGAACGTACGATAGGTCGTCGAAAACACGAGCGAGAATTGTCGCTAACGACAAAAATCAAAGAAACTCGATGTCGACTAGAGCTGCACGGTCGAAAATTCGGTCCTGGATTAAGATAGATTGATAGATAGACAGATAGATAGATAGATAGATAGAGGTACAAAGAGCGGAATGAAAATAATTGTCGTGCCAAAGGCATGCCGGCTTTTAATCTAGGGGCGAAGAAGTATCGTAAACTACTAAAAAATGATCTAAATGGTTACGATATAGCATACGTAATAGAAAAATGTGGCCGGTGGGAATACACAGGTATACAAATGTATCTTAAGTACCGGTTACGGAAAATCATTTGTAAAACGGTAAAAGAAGAAGAAAAAAAGAAACAAACAAACAATCGGTTTCCACAGAGTGAAATATATATATTTATATATATATATATCATAACCAGATAATAATTATCGGAATAATAAATAAGGCATACCGAACTGGGGCCACGGCACGTCAACGTCGTGGCTAAAATATGCTGCAGTCGTTTCGTTCTTACATGCGCTGGGCTAGATGCACAATGCGTTTTAATTCGGTCGCACCGTAGTCGACACGTCGTTTTCTGTGTTTTAGCCTCCTTCGGGGCTGGCCGTCGTCGGCCCTTACTACGTCCCCGGACACGAGGCTCAGTGCTATATGTCGGAGGCTTTTTTAGAAGGGGGCCGGGGGCTTGGTATTTTTGTGATAGTGATGGTCAAGTGGTGGTGGTGGTTTATTTTGTGACAGTGGCAAAGTGGTGATATATTGGTGTAATTTTTTCATGTGGCACACGTTTCAGTAGTAGACGTTTCCGTTGTCGTAGCCAAAAAATAGGATTTGCTCTGATCGTATTATCGTACCGGAAACTCTGGTTATTTACAGTCGTGCGTGTGCTCTACGGTTGTATATATATATTTTTTTGTTTTTTTGTTTTCAAGTTTTTGTGCGATTTCTCCGTCGACTGTGGTATCATCTATACATTTTTCGTCTGTTTTTTTTTTTTTTAACTTTAGTGTTGTCAGTTTATTTTTTCTTTTTTTTCGTTTATTCATCGAGATCTCTTTTTATTGAATTCGTTCGGATTGCTCCGAGGAGTTTTCACGTTCTCTGCGCGTACTTTTTTCCCGATCGAGCGGAAGCTGTGGACGCGATAGCGAGAGATTCGAGGCGGTCGCCTCGAGAACGCTATACAAGGGTGCGGAGAAATTACACTAAAGTTTCGCTAAGACCGACGTGATAGTTCACAACAGTGGTAAATTGGTACAGTGGAGACCCTTCGGAGGATGCTCGTAAATACGTTTTACGGGTTTATGTACGGTTATTATGTCACGCAGATTGCAATCGAGAATGCACAAAACTCGTACCTTGTCCTCTATCCTCGACGACCTTTCTTTGTACATTTCTTTTCTTATTTTTGCTCTGACTGTTTTCTTTTTCTGTTCCTATCTTTTTTGTTTTTTTTTTTTCGATTGATTTCCCTCGAAACATGTGCAAACCACCACGAAATGCGTCTGCGTAAACGTCGGCGATCGAACATCCACCAGGCTGCTGGTGGATTAACGATCGACCCGTACTTCTGCGTGATCGAGCTCACTACCTGTCGTTCGGAGTTACTGCAAATTGCACGTCCGCTCTCGTCGACGTTCGGTAACATCGTGGTAATCACACACCGAAATTCGCGATTACATTCGGAGAAAGCGGTTGTGCAACAACGTTAAACGCGAAACGTGACCGGGGCGAAACATCATAAATTGCCCTCGATAACAAAGGCCACCCAGTTTTTGTTTTTTTTTTTTTCCTCTGCTTTTTTCTCACCCGAACAAAACGAATCCTCGGGCTTGACCAAGCTCGGCGTCCCACGGTCCCGTCGATAAATCGCGGACAATAACGAGTAGAGAGACGCGCGTAGAACTTTTGCGCGGATAACGAGATTAAAAATAACGACGTCAATGAATCGTGTTTGAAAAATGTTTAATTAATATTCACTCGCTCTCTCGCGCTTTCTTTCCTTTTCTTTTTTCTTTTCCGCCAACGAAAGTCGCCGGTGGGAGAAACATTATGCATTGCATTGGCTGCAAATTAAGGTTGGACAGCGCGTTTCAATTAGACAGACGCGGAATTTGATGGGTGTGTAAAGTTGGATTAATTAAGACGGATTACCCGTGGAACGATGGAAATCGAATAGCGTCGAACGGCCATTGATCGATCCTCTGTAATTACTCGTCGTTTATTGATAGATTCGATTCTATTCATTTCGTTTACACGCGCGTGTATGCACGCTCTAGTCACGGTCGTTGTTCAATGCTGAAAAAAAAAAAGAAAAGAAAGAAAAAACTGGTTCGATTTTTCAGATGTTGGAAAATTCGTTGTTTCGCCGGCGCGAATCATCGACGAGTAAGCTGCGAGTCAAGGATCGACGACGATCGATGCTTCCCCACCCCAGTTCCGGTAAGTAGCATCAGCCATCGGCGATATTAATCGCCATTAATTACCATCTTGCGCGGGGCAAGAGGCAGAAAAGGGGTGGGCGGGGGGTGTAACGCGGCAGATCGGTGGACAGAAATACTTCTAACGACGGTAATAATTTCGCTCGGGACGAGGCTTGGAGCAATTAAGGACGAAGGCACGATCCAGCTTTCTACTCCGCGAAACTAATCAACGAACTTGGTCAAGTTACTTTGATATCTCGAGCGTCCGACTTCCGGCGGCCTTTCGTCGTATCCTGCAAACGACTGAGTTTTAATATAGATCTCTTAGCCGGAACGAGTTAGGCCGAAACTTTTTCCATTGTCCCCGTATAGATTACCAATCTCCGCTGGACTTCTGGTATAATCAAAGGCACCGGATGCGTTTCACGACTCTTTTTCTTTCTTCCTTCCTTTTTTTTTTTTGTTTTCCCTCCCGTCGAAACCGCACCCCTCTACGCTACTCTAGACTTTAGGCTTGTAATTCAACGTGTCCTCGTTAGCAAACTGCGTGTGGATTTTTCTTTCGTCGTATAGGTATACCAACATATATATATTCATTTGTCCAGCGGTATCGGTAATAAGCCCGTTATCGTTATCGAGGTGCAACGGCCGGCCACCGGATTAAACGGCACAATTACAGAACTTATTGATACAGGGTCCGATGATTTAACGGCCGCCGAATGATCAGACCGCACCGATTACCGTTCCACGAATTAATCGCTTATTCTACTCGCTTTCGAATAAATATTTCCAACGAGATATACACCCGGCGGTTTTACCCGGAGGCCAATTAAATCGTTCACGATCATTATTCCCCCCCCCGAACCGGCGAGTCGAGGCTCTCGAAATATTGAGAGGATCGCACGCGGGCGAATTTTTGCCGAATTATGCTTCTGCAATGGATCGAAAGAAAGGAACGTTGATTTCTAGATGTTAGATAGAGCGAGAGAGAGAGAGAGAGACAGATAGATAGAGAGAGAGAGAGAGCAACCGGGCATCCTCTTTCGGTTTCACACACCCAATTAATCGCGTGCAATTTGCAGCAGTGATAAGTTCGGCGCGAGCTCGTGATTAGTATACGCACACGCACACAGGCCATTCGCAACAGCCGCGCAAAAAGACATACACACAGAGAGGAATATTCGCACTCTACACCCACACGTTAAGGTGGTTTATAGGGTTTCTTTCAGCTCTCCCGTAAAACGTGCCACCGTTGCACTGGTGCGTTTCGTAACCAAGGGGGCAGTTTTTGTTTTTGTTTTAGCCATCGTGATCTCTCGCGTATTTCAAGCGAGAGACGTCGTCGTCTCGTTCCTCTATAGCTCGGTAACACTATTATAGCAGCCTAAAAGAACGCAGCGGCTCGTCTGATCGAGCCGTGTGTCTTGGTCATCGACTCGTTTTCGTGCTGAGGTCAACGTCAGGTTGATTGCGTATACAGCGAGCGTCTCGATCGAGACGGCCGTCGTCTCGGCTATTGCGGACGTTTCTCGTCAAGGTGCTCTTGTTGTTCGCACACTGGTGCCTCGTTGCTGGGCTGCACGCGTGATCTGACTCGAAACGATCGAAATAGGCGGACCTTGCAGCCATTCCATGCTATAAATTCAATTGCCGGACAATTCGTTATATATATACATATATACTTCCTTTACATCTCGACGATACAATTTTGTTTTTCGATAAATTTCCACCTTACAGACTGCTCGAATTCGGAACAGAGGGTTGAATTTCGACAATTTTCAAATTTCATCGAGGATGTCTCACATTTCCCTCATTTCTTCTCGTAATTTCGCGGTTCGGCTGAGAATTTGTCACTTTCGAGGGGAACACGCGTCCAGCTCAGGCAAGTTCACGATGTCACGTATATAATGTATAACAGTCATCGTGAATAGGTTTGTAGAAAACCCAATAAGAGTGAGCGAGAGCGGGTGAGTGAGCGAGTGAGTGAGTGGACGGAGTGAATGAAAGTGATCCGCGACGATGCCGCGGATCGTGTGACTGATTCGTGTTAGTGAGCGTGTAAAGTGGCGAGTGATGGACAGACAGACAGACAGATAGATAGATAGATAGCTAGAAGAGGAGAAGACAGAGAAGATAGAGGGAAGAAAATGGTGGTTCTCGTGGATAGAGGAACGTCGGGACGTGGGCTCGGGGGGAGCAGAGAGCTGGGGTAGTCGCGTTTGAAGGGGGTGGGCTTGTAAGGTGTCGGTTATAACGATATTTCGTATGAGCGTGTAAAAGAAGAACACACGAGGTTGTTTCCTCTTTTTCTTAGCTTTCTGGGTATTTTTTTTTTTTTTCCTTCGTTTTTTCCTCTTTCTGTTTACGCTTTAGACGCAAATGTACACGACAGGAGCGTCTTTCTGAGCTTATCTGAAAAGGGGTTTGAAAGCGATGTACAAAGTTGAGCCGCGTTTAATCAACGGCGATCGACATTTCACCTCTCGACGAAACGTCTTTCGTCGACAGTGTCTTCTGTTTCTGTAATTTTTGAACCGAGACACTGTGGTTCAATTGGATTTTTAATCGATTACTTAAGAAATTGTCCGTGCAACGTCGATCACTGTTGTCAAGATCGACACTGTTGATGCTCCGATGATTATATATTCGGGGTCGTATGTTTCCATGTACGTAATATGTAGCGTGTGTCTGTGTGACAGTGGACGGAGGCGAGGGTGTCGAACTTTTTCTCAGATCGTCACTTTTCAGTTCATTATGTATGCATTTATACACGCGCACGTGCGTACTTACAGCTCTCGATCTCGATATGGCAGAGCTGTCGGTCCATCGGAAAGTATTGCAGATTCATTGGACACGATGCCGTGATCGTTAAACTGCAACAAATGCAAATATACGCTTTCAGTCTATCCCGCCCCCGCGTAATCGCCCTATCTTCCGCAAACAAGGTAAAAGAAACGAAATTAGAGAATCAACGGAAATTTCACACGAAACTGGGAAATTCTTTTACTCGTAACGATCTACTACGACGGACCAATTTCAAGTTCGCCAAGGGAGGAATCTCTCGCGGTGAGAATCGACGGGCGCCGTTATCGTTTCGAGCAACGGTTATCGATAGTTTTCCCTCAAACGTGGAGAATTTATTCATGCACACACCGATGCCCATTCCCATCGATTTCTCTTAGCGTTCTTCGCTTTCTGCCGGCGCGTCGGAGTCGGCCTTGAGTTTCTAGATCCGGAAGGGAACGTAATATAAAGCAAGGAAAGGGTGCGCGGAGGAAAGTTAGGTATGCATGGATCGCCTGAATATAGCAGCACCGTTAATACCAGAACACTTCTGGCTGGTTTAGAGGGGGATGGATAGGTCGCGAAGAGACGTGGGAGAGGAGCAAGGAAGGGTGGCGAGGATGTGGAAGTGATGACGACCGATGCTCGGAACAAATTTCTCGTGGCTGGTACAATTGCTCCCTCAAGTGTCTAGGTGGTACCCGGACGACATGGGGTATCGAAACGGGGTTAAAATCGCGCCTGAACGTGGCAGTTTTATCGCGCGACCTCCTCCTCCACCGCTTCTACTTCTCCGCGCGCGAGAAAATATATTCCATTACCCCGAAAAGTCTTCGCCGTTTTGTACGCGGGTTCGCCGACTTTCGTCGACGTCGTGCACTGAAAATACTGCTGCGCTTCGCGTTTATAGAAATTGGTCCTGTGTCGAGGATACTTAACGAAAGTTGGAAGAAGAAGCATGGCGCGGCGGGATTGAATGATATTGTTATAGCGTTACATTAACATATCAAGACCCGGGGGAATTATGCATTAGGTCGTGTAATGTGAAATGTCGAATTTTTCAGAGAGGAACGAAAATGGTTTTTCCTCTTTTCTTTGGATCTAAGCAAACGTTTTATTCGTCAAAATAGGAAGCATCATTTGTGATTTTAATAGGAAAGTTTCTCTTTCAGCTTTCAAATGCAAAATTGTACGAGAAAGAAAAGGAGATTGTTTCTTAACGCTTGCAGGAGCTCTCTGAAGTATTCATTGTTTGTGGAATATATATTTTTTATTATTTTATGTTACTACCTTAAAACTTCACTCCATGTAAGACACTACTTTTTTTTTCTATTTCATATAATATTAAATTTTTATAGCTATGAAATTATCTTCGATACTTTTGCACATCGGTGTCGTTCTCGAGCAGAAATATCTCTTCATATTACTATTAGATAATATCGTTACCTTGATGCTACATTTAGACATCCGAAATTAATCGGTAGAAGAAGCAAGTTTCAGCACAGACTGTGGAGTTGATTTTAAACTTATCTACTTCTGACATTTCCAAATACAATCCTAAGATACCCCACTGAAATGATCTACAATACTGTTAACATACCTTAGATTCTAACAGAAATACATTTATCCGGGAAATTGTGAATTTTTCAATTATCCACAAAAAAGTATCAAAGTAACGATATAAAGACGAACCAATCTTTCACCAGAAGTATTACAGATAAAAAATGTTCACACTCACCGTATACTACGCGTGATGCTTCCCGAGTGATGAATACGAATGAACTCGTTGCTGGTGGTAGCGATGTGAAAGTACGACTGCTTCTCGTTGACGAAGAATGTGTCGGGCACCCAGATGTTCTTGATGAACTCCGATCCGACGCTCAGCGTCTCGACGCCCGTTCGTTTCTTGAACGCTAGTCGCGGGTCCGTCCAGAATTGCCGGAAGTAAAAATCCAGCGTGAAGTCCTATCATAAGACACACACACACACAGTGGATTTATTAGACTAGTCACGATCATGGTGATTCGAGTCGCGACGACACGCGAGAAATAGAACGTGGAAGAACGTGAAAGCTCGTCGATGGAAAGAAATTTCCCAGGTCGAGAAACAGCGACGATGTTTGTTTTGGGACGAGATAGACAACAAATTTTACGATCGGTCCAGAAATTGCAAAACGCTTCAGCCGAGAGTAGAACAACGGCAGCGTGACGTATTCTACGTACCGATGCGACTAACAGCATTATGCGACAATAGCTTTGTTGAAAATAACACAGTTCCGCCGGATGACACGCGCGGGGGTGAAGAAAGCGAATTGCAAACCGATATCGCGGTTGGATAACGTGGGCCAAGCATTCTATCCGACGCGTTCCCACACTCCCCTCTTTCATACGAGTAAATAGATTTTCATCGATTAAACTCCCCTTGATTTATATGATACGTCGCGCTCGTTCGAAATTCGCGCGGTTTATCAGACCGTTGGACACGCATAAAGAACCGTGTTCACGCGCGTATGTACACACACGGCGGTATTAAAACGCGGCGAACAACTACAAGTTGAATGAACCTCGAGCGCGAGAAATATTTGTCACGATTGCGCGCGCTTTCGGAAGAAAAGAAAAGGAACACGATTATCTCTCACGTTGTTCCTCGTTCTTCTCGCGTGCGTATCGTTTTCTCTCTCTTTGGTTGTCTTTTTTTTTTTTTTTAGCGAGGCTGGTATTTCGAGACAAGGAGGGAAAATTCGAAGCGTTTTTCCACAGGGGATGGAGTATCGCGAGATAGAGAAAGAAAGAGGGAGAAAGAGAGAAAGAGAAGGAAGAGATAGATAGATAGATAGATAGAGAGAGAGGGAGATGGTTACACGCGAAATTGTCGCGAGATTGAAACGATCAAAGGGGGGAAGGGAGAACAGCGAGACGTGACACGTGTCGGGAGAAACGAAAACGTAGAGCGACGCGATCGGATAAGATAAGGGGTGGTCTCGAGCGGTCGGTTTTAATGGGAGAGGAAACGCAGAACTGAGATCGTGAACGTCGACAGGTAAGCTACCGAACTCTTGTCGACCGATGTTGTCGACTTCTCTGTTCCACACCGTACAACCACGCGTCGTGGTTATCGTAACGCGCTAAATCGGCTACTTGAACACTCACGTAACCCTATCGAGGCCTCCCTCGGCTGTGAGCCGAGCCACGGACTAATTTGAGCGGTAATAAAGTCTTTTGACGAAGCGTGCTAGACGCCAGTCCGAACATTTGCTTGCCACTGAGCTCGTTCGTTCGTGTGATTTCACGAAATCTCGAGTGCACGCTGGATAATTGGAGATGTTTAAAGTTTTCGCGATTTTAATTACCAGCCGAGAATGAATTTTTACAATTTCCTCTCCTTTTTTCTTGTTGCTTTCGGTGACGAATTAATTATTGGTGGAATATTTTTGGTAGAGTATCGACGAGATTGTGGTTTTGATTGATATATACACTTGGTTCGTCGAATACAGTGTTCACTTGAAGGATAGAGTCGTTCTTTGGCTATCTTATACTGCAGCGCGAGGTTCGGACGAGTTATCGTTGATCTCACTACTTGTTCTACTGTTCTACGCGGTGCACCGAGGTTCTGGAAACTTTGTTCAATCTGTAACGAAGTATTTTGATATCTTCGGTAGATCTTTAATCGCTGTATTTAATAGTCGAGATTGAAGAGGGATTATTTGGAAAGTTTTCGTTTAAAAATTGCCTTTTCGACGAGTGACATTTTTATTAGAACAATCGTTTGAAATGTTCGGTAAAATATTATGGTAGAAAAATACGAATACCGAAGGAATGAAATATCACAATGCAATTATTAATACCACTTGATCAGTTTTCGCTGCTAAATTCAAGCGGGCTTCGATGCGTTATGAAACATTGTGTACAGTCGCGCGGAGTGGTATAAAACTCGTATAAAATCGAATGATCCATTTGGTAACCATTGATAACAAATGATTTCACGGTTAAGTTGTTCACGTTTCGGGCGAACGCGAAGATTGTGAAACGGTCGATGAAAAATTTTACGCATGACGAAGGAATCGTGGCGCGATTCAGTGGTTGCGATTTTGTCAGTAGCGATTCCTATAATAGATCGGGCAGATTTAATATTCAAAGATATACCCGCCGCTTATAACCATTGGCTGATCGTCGAGCGGAAATATCGTTGTTTAAGCGTTCAGAAATAGATTCTCGCGGGTAAGAAGTTACACGATTTGAAATATTCAAGGATCTTCGTTTAAACTTTGATTACTTCGTTCGGCTTTATCGAACGATGAACGAAGGATGAGAGAAAAAAAAAAAAAAAGATGGGGAGGAGAAGCGATTTCACGCGAATCCATCAAACGTTGTAGCGTGCTGTTCGCCGTAAATTTTCCAACTCGCGAGGGGCGAATAATTCGTTCGATAAAGAAAGTTTAAGTGGCCGAGCGAATAGTTGGAGCGCAATCAGCCGATGGCTAGATTTATTATTCGAGGTCGAAGTTTCTTGATTATTCTGTTATTAGAGGGACGTAATTACGAGTGAGCACATTTAAACGCGGTTACAGTTTCGCTCGGCTAACGAAGACGCAATTAAAAGTTCACTTATCAAAGTCGGGTAACGCACGTATCGGTCCGACCATAAACTGATCACATTTGCATCTCATTTGGGAGATTAAAAGATTTAGCGCTCGAAGACCCGAAGAGAGGAAGATTCAAAGATTCAACGACTCAGGCCGATGGAGATTTAAAGATTTAAGGGCTCGAAGATTAAAGAATTCGGGTGTTCAAATCTTCGTCCTTTGAAAATTTGAAATTTCGCAAGCTCGAAAGTTCAGAATTCGTTAAATTTGTCATTTTCAAAGTTTAAAATATGAAAACTTCGAGATTTATAAAGTTTAAAATTTTTAATATTTGGAAATTTGAAATATTAAGAATTTAAGTATTTGCAAATTTGAGATATTAAGAATTTAAATATGTGAAAATTTCAAAAGTTCGGAGATTCAAAGTCTCGAAAACCTCAACTGCACAGCTTCCAATATCCAGCCATTCAAAGTCCCGAAATCTGAACGATACCAAAATTCACCGGAGAAATCCTTGAACTATGGCCAAACTCTGTATTCCTGTTTACATGTTTGCGCGCTGTGTACCTGAAATCTGGACGATAGCTGGAAGTTTCGACGATAAGATAATTCGATACAACTGGAAATTACACAGGTTGAAGCGAGCCGTATCGCTAGGTACACGGTTCACTCGCATCGGATCCCTGTCGACGTGGTCGATCTCAGTAAGGGGAGTTTCGCGACGCGAGGGTAATTCGTGTGTACACGCGAAAGCGGTAAGGTGCATGGACCGTGTATATGGTGATTATATGTATCCCATACATAGACTATGACTACTTGGGCAACGATATACTAGTACACGTGCAAGCATGCTACGAAACGCTATCAAAGCGACATGCACACCGCCTACTCTGTTACTGCGAGAAGAGAGAAAATCTTAAGTCTAACTGTTAAAAATACTTATGTCTAATCGAACTTTGAACTTGGCAACAGTAGCAACGATATGCAGCAGGATCTGAAAGTTGTTGGAATTTTTAGTGTGACATTTCTTTCTTTCTTTCTTTCTTTCCATCCTTCGTATCACTTTCTGTTCTTAAGAGATTTCCGTCCAACGGTAGGAAAAGGTTATCATACTTCTGACAAATTTTCCGGTACGATCGATTCACATTCTTTACTCGTAACGGATATAAGAAAAAAAAACAAAAAGAAGAAAATTGTGGCCAACTTTTGGATCGGTATAAAAATAATCGAGAATTTCATAGTTTCCTTTCGATCTTTTTCCTTCGTTCACGTCGCAACTTTCCAAGTAGAGCGTATTATCAAAAATGCCGTACACAGTTTGAGATCACACTTCACTCGTGAGATCGCAATCGCCGTGATGCATGAACACAGGCGTGTTTCCTTGTAGACTTGATTCAACAACGATGCTTTCGTGCATTTCAAACCGACGCGTTTATATATGCGTAACGTGTAGGTATATGTATATACATATGTGAACACCTTGCAAATCGAGGCGCGCGCTCTATGGTTCGCTGTCGTGGAGCTTTGTGAAAGTGATTTTTATGCTAGAAATCGCGTGAAAAAAACAAAAACAAAAAACGTTCGGATTTAACGTAGCGAGAGTTCTGCGACAAAGAAAGGGTTGAAAAAAGAGAAAAGAAAAATCGCGAGCTGTTGCGAACGATAAATAACAATTGCCGCTATAAATCTGTGTAGATTCGCGTTGTTCTACCGTTGCTTGCTTGCGTTGCACACGAATTTTTATACTATTTTCTCTCTCTCTCTCTCTCTCTGTTGTTTCTGTTTTTCTTTTTTTCTTTTTTCATTTCATTTCCTCCACCGGTGGTCGTATGCTGTCGTCGAGGATTTTACGACTATTATAAACGTAGAACTTGCTGGAATTTTCGCAACCGTTATAGGTGTGAAATTTTGTTGGCGGGAGCGAAAGGGTGTGAGTGAGAGAGAGAGAGAGAATTGGGGAAACTTTAGGAACGGACTTGGACATTTTACAGCTCCAATAACGGCTGACACTCACTCCAGCGACGCTGGAAGGATTTCAACCCGAGGCGACGCTTACCGCCGTCATCGACGCTGTATACGTAGCCGCGATATTTTTGTGACGTTTTCAACGCGCGGAAAAGTTTTATGCCGGATAAATGTTACGGATTTATGCTATCGTGATTCCCCCGGATACACACCGCTTCAAGGGTGGAGCCCCGCAAGACGAAAATAATAAAACGAGGAATAAATAGAAGTTCGTTTCGTCGTTTTCGCTATTAGTCGAACGACCCTGTTTCCCTTACAAATAGAAACAGTTTTATTTCCGGTGCAAAATGGTACTTGCCGCTATATATTCCCCGTCTCGTTCTTAAATCTCGCTTTTTTATTGTTAAAACAGGTTCTG